CTTATCTGGGCTCCCTGACTTGTATTTAGAGCTTGATACCACACTGGGGGGCTGTTGACTGATAAACAGTTTTGAGAGTCCCTGCCCCCCAACCAGACACACAAAACAACAGCATCACCTCTATTCAAAGAGGTTCAGTAGAGAGTACAGTTGGAGGGTTGATGACAGAGAACACAATCTCAGGCAATGTCTCTGGTCTTACGTGTATTTCCCTTCATTTCTTCAAGTGAATCAATGATACAATCACAGGATCGGCAGGAGAAACCTATGAAGTATATTCAAGTAAAACATGTGTCCATTAGTTTTGCTTCTGGTGATTGGAATTTGCTTGATTTTCATATTAATAAAAACATTGCCGCTTCAAGTACATCTGAGAAATCTGATTATCAAGTCAGAATCCACCCATCTCCTTAGGTACTCTTAGGAAGAAGCGTGTGTCTCCATAAAAGCCTAAGGAGAAAAAGACGTGTACAGCATCTTTTTATTTTCTTTACCATTGCTTTAATGCACTTTAAAATTTATCTACATCAATTGGGAACAAAGAAACAAAAATAGACATTTCTTTGTTTTTCATAAATAACTACTCTCCATATTTGATAAAAATTTCAAACCATTATTTTACCTTCCCACAAATATAATACATACAAAATCTTTTCTGAAATAATAAAGTCAGCAAATTAAGTATCTTGAGACTAACATAACCACATACGACTGCTGTTCTATGGACTTCCAGGAACAAAACAAGAAACAAAAACTTCTTATCAAAATGCTCTGGGTTTCCTTTTGTTAATGTTACAGATTCAGAATTATAATCATCTGCCAATAATAATTTATAGATTCAAGTTGATTGTCTACAAATAAAATATCGCTGGCTCTGATCTGTGAGTTCTGGATTTGACACGACAGTGAGGATGCTGCGTGACAGGCACTATACATATATGAACATCAGAAAGTACTGAATGCCCTGGACTCCAACTACTGACTCGGTATGTGCCTCATTTGGCTCAGTAATAAATTCACCTGCACCAAACCCGTATCAAAAGTCACTAAATCTCTCATATATATAATATATATTATGTATATACACACCCACAACACACACATACTATACATACAGTTTGTAACAACATGAAGTAATATTGTCTCAAAATGATGTACCACAGACATTATCCTGGCTGAAATAAATCCTGTAATTGTCACTGAGCTGCTAGAAGGTTTTGAGGGTTCTGAGTCAGGTTACTTAGTTACTTCCATCCTGCCCACCCTTTGCCCAGCTTTAATGTCTTGGTAGCTTTTTTCCCCTCAGAATCACCCTCCCCCCACTCCAGGCATATTTTCTTCCCAGGATCACTTGATTGGACTTGGGAGGCAAGAAAGGGCATGCAGAGAGAGGGAGCAGGCAATTCTCAGCCACTGTACCTCACACCTGCCTAGATTTGTGATGTTCTCTGTCCTGTTTGCCACATTTGGTGTTAGAAAGCAGTTATTCAAAGCTTTGTCTCTCCTACCCCCCTTGGTCTTTCTGTAGAGCACAAAAGTGAAAAAAGCCTCTTTAGCAGGGATAGCAGTTCATTAAAATATACAACTACATTTCCTAGCTCTGGGGTTCCCATTCTGTACTTGAGAGTGCAGGTCACGGATGCTGTTATTAAGGTTCAGTGTGGGATCCATGAGGTTTTCTCCCGGCAGCCTGTGTCAGGATTAGTGCAGCCCTGGCCCAGGAGGAAACAGCCTAATGAATACCAACTTGGAAACAGTGCTGTTGGCACATTATTTAAGCTTGTACATGCGTACAATTACACACCACACACACACACACACACACACACACACACACACACACACACAGGCCTGTCACTGGGAACGGTCATGTGGAAAGATGACAAAGGTTTGCAAAGATAAACTAATAAGGCACCAAGAAAAATTATTTTCAGCCAATTTAGACAACATCAAAATGTGAGGAGGGAAATAATATAAGTTAAAGAGCCTTCCTAAAGTCTGGCCAACTGATTCACTAAGAGGTCACAGTTCCTTTAGACAACCTTCTAAATCTTCTATGAAGTGAGACAATGCTCAAAACTGAACCGTGAAAGGGGCATGTGACATTAAACTGAACCATAAATCCTCTCCAACTTCACAAAGCTATCTGTGAAGAAGTTGCTAGACTCCCCCCCACCCCAACACAAACACAACCTTTCCTTTTATTTGTTTTCATGAGTATGGATTGTTTGCATAATAAAAATACAAATCAGGGGAAAACAGTGTGTGAGATGGAAGTAGAGGGTGACCATAAGTAGATCCAACCTCTCTCTCCTAGGTAGGGTGGGGTGGTTGACAGGAGTAAGACTTGAGGGAAGCAGGTGGTAATTTATCTTTGAGGGAAGGGAGAAGAAGGGTAATGGGTGAGAACACAGACTGAAAACACAGGGACACCTCTGAAAGTTAGTTCTGCAACTAGACCCCAAAAGGCATTACCTATATTGCCTCTCCTTGGCTGAGCAACCTAGTTTTTTTAAGTAAATCGGTTGTTCTTTTAGGCTTGGCATGTTGCCAAAATGAAAAAAGAATTTTTTTAAAATGAAGAATTAATCCACCTTCATCCATTTCATGCCACAACTTTTAGATATGTTGTGCATCATATCTGGATTCCTCCACAAAGAAAAAGAAGTAAGGGGGACAAAGGCAAATTAAGCACAATGACTGAAGGCAGCAGAACAATCTATGTACTTTCTGGGAAGACACACGAAATGAGGGAAGAAGTCAAGGTGATCACAAAAGGTCCTCATCTGACGAAAAACAGAAGAAATTGGCCCTCAGACAGGGAATCTACTCCAAGGTTCTAAAAAGCAGCTTCTGAATAAGGGCAGGAATAAGATGTGCAAAAAGTTCTGTAGCTCTATGTACTAAGTTTTGTTGAATCTACTGAAATTTTAACTTGTGCATTTTTATAAACACAAAAGCTTTTGACAGTCTGCAAAACTACAATACTAGGCTTCTCCCTGCAGCGAAGTGTTTCAATTCACTATGGGAACTATGCATTTCTTTCCTTAATACCCATGAAGTGAAAACTGACCTGGATTTAAATCTTACTTTTCCAACTTTGGTATAAATGAGGGACAAATGCCTAGACTCGACATTTTCCTAGGGAACCATTCTAAAATTTTAATTGTTTTTTGCCGTTTTAGCTTCCTAAATGTAGTCCCCACTCAACCCTGGTTACTGGTGTTTTGCTGGCCAATGCACTATCACCTCCTTCCCCAAGCTGTGGCCTCACACTCTTCATGAAGGAACAGTTAAACAGATTAGAAAAGCAAACAGAATTCTTTAATAGTAAAGAAACTCCTGTGTGTGTGTGTGTGTGCGCGCGCGCGTGTGTGTGTGTGTTTTCATATATAGGCTTTCATATATGAATGGTTAAACAGATTTAGGAATGCAAACAGAATTCTCTAATAGCAAAGTGCATGTGTATTTGCATGTGGATGCATGCAAGTGTGTGCTCATCAGAAAAAAAGTGTGTGCTTTCTCAGAAAAAAAAAAAGAGAGAGAGAGAGAGAGAAACAAATTGACGTGGGGGAGAGAGAACAGCTTTCCTCCTGCCGTAGCAGGACCCTGATCCATATTTTAAAAGCTTACGCAAGTGTATTATGGGTGTCATTTGTTTTGAGTGACTGCAGAAAGCCATGTTTTGCTGCTTTGGGAATATCTGGCTATTAAATTAGTCCAAAGTCCAGGGACACTTATTTTCCCTCATTGCTGCCAATGTTTGTTCACAGGTAGCCAGCCTCCCTCCCCCCAGTTCAAGCACCCCATTCAAGGGTGGGTGTGGTTTCTTAATCACAGCTCTCCAGGAGAGGAGGAATAAGAAAAGCAAAAAGACTGTTTAACATGATAAAGGAGGTGGGATGGGGGTGGAGCAGATAAGAGAAGTGTTGGAAATTTACTTAATTACGGGAGGTATATCCATTTTAGTCCTTACAACTAAAAAGCAGCCCCTTTAACAACTATCTCTAAGTACTTCCAGAAGAAGGGAGTGGGGGTTTAATTTTACCAAAATCAGAACACAAATTCTTTTTTTTAAAAAAAATTGGGATCACTGAAGCCTATTAAGAACCACCCACTCCTTCTGGGGCACAAAGCTGCCATTTTACCAGTCTAGAACTCAACCAATCACCATCCCTTAGGTTTTCACTTTTCCAAATATTTATACCGGCACTCTATAAGGCCACCTCTAACTTATTTAAGACAACACTGGGTGCTGTTAAGAATAAGAATGATTACAAGCACTACAGAAATGAAACCGAAGCTCGATAAATAAACAAAGCTAGGATGGCACACAAAATCGTTAAACACTCTCTAACCTTGTCACTTTGGGGAGGCCCTAACCACATTATGCTCCCCCTCCTTGGCATGGATTGGGGTTTCCCCTAACTTAGGGACTATAAACAGAGACAAGCAGCTCACCTTAAAGCATCTTGGACACTTTAAGCAATGAAAGGAGAAAACAAGCCTAGAAAGCACACCCAACCGCTTCCCAGTCATAGAAACCTAAACTTTCACTGTTCACATTTTTTTTTAAAGACACAAGTATAGGAAATATATTTTCCCAATTTAGACCACACAGTTCAAAGAAACCTGAACCAAGCGGAACTTCATTATAAATGCCAACCTTAGGATTGTAAAGCCCCCAAAGCAAAGGTAAATTTTGTTGCCAAAATGCAACAAAGTTTAAAATTAAGAAAACTACATATAAATTAAAAACAGGGTTCCCCTAAAAAAAAAAAAAGGTAGTAAGAAACGCAAAATAGAATACACGTGAGCTGAGCCCCTTTGAGAAGTCCTGGGACAGGTGCTCCCTTGAAAGGGCCCCTTTCCCCTCTCTCCAGGTTGCCCCAGGAGGGGGCATCAGCACCATGAAGGTAAACGGAAGTGAACTTGGCAAAGCTACCAAACAAAACAACCCCCACCCCCCCCAACTCCCGGCCCTTCTGGGCCCCGGCCTCCTACACGTGAGACAGGGACACCTGCTTGTGGTAGGCGGCGGCCGCGGCGGCGGCTGGGGGGGGGGCCCGGCGGCCCGGTCCTGCCCGTGAGCGCTGCGCTCGCCTCATAGTCCCCGGCGGCCGTCGCGCCGCCGCTCTTGTGGCCCCGCCGCGGGCGGCAGCAGCAGCGACTCGTGAAGCGCCGCCACGACTCCACAGTCTTGCCGGACCAAATCCAGACGCCCGACGTGATGCCCACCACGAGGCACATGAAGTACTTGAGCATGAGCACCCAGTACTCGGGCTTAGCGCGCGGCTGGCCGGCGTCGGGGCCTGGGCACGCGCAGGTGAGCGCAGCCTCCCAGCTCTCGCGATAGTGCTGCTCGTACAGGTAGCAGGCCACCACGATGCTGGCCGGCACCGTATAGAGCAGCGTGAAGATACCGATGCGGATCATCAGCTTCTCCAGCTTGTCCGTCTTGGTGCCGCCCTGCTTGATGACGCTACGGATGCGGAAGAGCGACACGAAACCCGCCAGGAGGAAGAGGGTGCCCACCAGCAGGTAGAGCACCAGGGGGCCCAGCACGAAGCCGCGGAGCGAGTTCAGGTTCTGGTTGCCCACGTAGCAGATGCCGGCCACCGGGTCCCCGTCCACGGAGCTCAGTGCCAGCGCTGTGATGGACTTGACGCTGGGGATGAGCCACGCGGCCAGGTGGAAGTACTGTGCATAGCCCGCGATGGCCTCGTTGCCCCACTTCATTCCAGCTGCCAAGAACCAGGTGAGCGACAGGATGACCCACCAGATGGAGCTGGCCATCCCGAAGAAGTAGACTAGCAGGAAGACGACAGTGCACAGCGCAGGGCCTGTCGTCTCGTAGTGAATGTGGCTGTGCTCGCGGCTGCAGGCGACGCTGGCATGGCCCACCACCAGGCGCACCAAGAAGCCCAGCGACACGCACAAGTAGCAGGCGGACAGGAAGATGATGGGGCGCTCAGGGTAGCGAAAGCGTTCCATGTCTATCAGGAAGGTGGCCACCGTGGTGGAGGTGGAGATGAAGCACAGCACAGACCACAGGCCAATCCAGAAGGTGGCGAACGTGCGCTCGTCCGGGCTGAAGGAGGGCTGGTAGCAGGGCACCGCGCAGTTGGGCACCTGGCCCGTGCGCACCTTGTTGTAGAGCGGGTGCGACTCCTTCAGGATGGGCACGAAGGGCTCGCGGCATTTGCACACCGATGGGCCCCCGGCGGCGCACTCGCCCCCGGAGGCCGGGGCCCCCGCTGGGCCCGGGAGGGTGGGTTTGGCCGGGAAGGGCCTGGGGGGCGCCGTGGTGGCCTCGCTGCGGTTGTAATCCATGCACAGGACCTCGGCGTCGCGGCCCAGCACCGGGAGGCGGTCGCAGCTCATGCGCTCCGGCCAGGCAAAGCCGTACTGCCGCATGAGCGGCGAGCAGCCGGCCTTGGCGCGCTCGCACACCGAGCGGCAGGGCGGCAGCGGCTTGTGGTAGTCGGGCAGGCAGATGGGCGTATACATGGAGCACAGGAAGAAGCGCAGGTCCGGAGAGCAGTGGATCTCCACCAGCGGCCAGAACTGGTGCACCTCCAGGCCAGCCTCGTCCTGCGTGTCGTGGTTGAACTGGTTGGGCATGTGCGTCAGGTTGTAGCCGATGCCGCGGCACATGGGCACTGTGATTTCCTGGCACACGGGGGCCTTGGAGGCAGCCGCCGCCCGGCCGGCCAGCTGCGCCAGGAGCAGCAGCAGCAGCGAGGGCGGTGCGGACGGGTCAGGCCGAGCCATAGCCCCCTCCCTCCCCTCGCTTTGCCTGCCGCAGCCCGCGCGGGGCCCACGCAGCCAGGGGAAACCGGGCCGGCCTTTCCGCCGACTTGTGTGTGGCGCCGCGCCTGGCAACCTGTTGGTTTCTTTTTCTCTTAAATTTGTCCAAAGATAAACTGTTTCGGGAAGGCGCTGCCTCCGCAGGCAGCGCTCAGCTCTTCGCCAGATAGGGTGGGGAGGGACGGTTAGGGCTCTGGTTCCAGGGAAAGTACTCTCTAAAAAAGAAGCTGGGGGAGAAGAAAAATTGCAACCACTCCCAATTAGAGGGGAGTCAACGACACAGTCCCCGCAAGCGCTCTCCAAATCTCTAAGTTAACCTCTCTCCCCTCCCTCCCCTCCACCTCCGGGAACCAAACTACTGACTCCCAGCCCATCGCCACCCCCCGCCTCCTTCCATACTGGGCCCTCCGGGCTGTACCCCGGGTTCGGAGAGCTCAGCCGCCCGAAAAAGGGCTGAGGAACCGGGAAAAGAACGGGGAGAAAAGGGCAGGCGCGGGCTCTCACCTTCGCGGATCCCGAGAGAAACGGATTGTCGGCAGGCAGCCTGGGTGCTCCGTCCCTGGGACACTCGCTCAGAAATGCGACTCAGAGACGGGCTGGCACCCGGAAAGTTTGACGATAGGCTGGGTATCCGAGGCGCGGCACATGGCAGCAGGTGGGGCGTCTCAGAGAGGGGGTCGCACCCTGAGCGCGGTCGCCGCAGGCCGGTCACTCGCCCTCTCCTCCTCCGGGGCCCCCCGCATGATCCGAGCGGGGCAGAGCAGGAGCAGGCCGTGCGTTCCACCGGGGTCCGGGAGCCGGACGAAGGGCGAGCGCGCCTGGCAGCACCTGGGCGAGAGGAAGGCGGTGTGCGGCAGCCGGGGGATCCCGCTGCCTCACTGCACCGCGAGCAGCCGGCGCTGGCACCGCCGGGACTGCATGGTGCTAGCCCGCCGCCGCGTCCAGCCCGCTGCTCGCCTCCTCCCCTGCAGGGGGCTCCGCGCTCCAGCGGACTCCTGGGGGCGGTGGCGGCGCTCCCGGGACGCGCCCGGCTCGGCTCCTCCCCCGCGCTCTCTCACTCTTTCGCCCACCTCCCGCGGGTACAGAACGGCGCGCGCTCGGCGACGGCAGCGGAGACTCGGACGCGGGTTGACTGGCCTGTCCCGCCCCGCCCGGGTCACCTGCCTCTAAAGCCCGCCGGGAGGCCCCGCCCCTTCCCCGCCCCCTCGCGCTGGGGCTCGGTTGGTGGGCCGCCCCGCCACGTTCTCCGCGCGTCCCCGCCCACTGCCCCGCGGGCTCGGCCTCTCCCCCGGCGCCCTCCGGCCCCGCCCGGAGCGGGCCGCCGGGGAGCGCGGGCCAATAGCGGGCCGGAAAGCGATGGGGGCGGGGCGAATGCTAATCTCTCCTTCTCGAGACCCCGGGCGGGAAACCTTTGCTGGAAGTCCCTACCGAGTTCTCTGCGGGCGCCCACGGGTCCGGGGCTCACTTTCCCGTAGTAGACTAGCTCATGAACCCTTGCTTCCAGAGCCCCTGCCAGGTCTCTCTGCAGCTAAAAATCCTTAGCTTCCAGCGCTTGTTTAAAAGAACTGCTCGAAGAAGCATTCTTAACCGTGGCACCTGTCTCCGCTCTGCGCTGTCCTCATACCAGGTGAGCTCACGCTGAGAGAAGAGCGAAGGCTTCTTGAGCCCCTACTGTGTGCCAGATAGCGCGTTAATCGTTTATATCTTAATACAAGATCTCAGATCTTTACAGTTCTGTGAGACAGGTACTCCTTACAGGTGAAGGAACAAAGGTTTTGAAACTTGACCAAGGCAACCGAGCTAATACTTTCCCAAGAAAGCCGCAACATAGGCAATCTTCACCCCAGTATTCCGAGCGCCTGGCACATAGTAGGCGCTCAAATGGTAACTCGGGATTCGAACCCACGTAGCTGCATCCCAGTGGTAACCACTCTCCCCCCACCCCGCCATGTAGTCTCTGTATCCCCCTGTCTTCAACCTTTACTTTAGCATTTCGTCACAGAAGACTCGAGAGATGTTAGTCCTTTATCAGTGGAAGTTTAAAATCCCAGGCAGTCCCCAAGATGCCTGCAGGGAGAAGCGGCGCTGGCTCGCGGCTCGGTAATGGGTGGGCGCCTGGCCCCCCGGGGCTGCCTGCTGCTGAGCCGCGTATCCGCGCGCCTCTGGGGAGCGGGGGCGCAAGGAGCAGTCCCCGCCCGCGGGAAGGCCCGCTGGGTGCCCCTGCTGCTGGGACACACAGTGGCGCTCTCCAGATAGGTTATTATGCTGCAAGTTTTTAAATGTCCTAAAAATGCCTCTTTTCTACGTGTTCTAATTCGGTTGGAAGACTGAGGTGTTTAGCATTCTTGAAATTCATTCACACGCTTACAAAGAGGGTTTGAATTGTTTCCCGCTCCCCCACCCCTTCCTTCCTCTGGGAAGGAGGAAAAAAAGCAGGAGGGCCTGGGTACTTCAAGGAGTCAGGACTGGACTAAAAGGTTGAGATAGATAGACCACAGTCATTGTCGTTCTGTCCTGGATCCCGTTTGTACAGACTGGGAGACTGAATTGCAGAATGGCCCTCTCCCTCTTGCTTACCAACAAGGCTTTGTGAACAATAATGAAGAATATGTACATTAATCCCAGACTCAAAGTTTAAAATGAATAAATACTATTGTTTCACAAGCATCAAAACTATTAATAAATATGTTTAAAATGTACCTTACATCTTTAATTCCCTGAAATTCTACAGGTGTTCATATTTAATCTCTTTTGTGTTTTGGAAACACTTAGCACTCTGGGTCGGCAAACATCCCAGGGTTGAAAGTAGTGGGAGTTGAAAAGCTATGGAATAGTAATCAAAAAGAAAGGGAAACCCTCAGTGGAAAGTATGTGCAGACTGTGAACATGCCAAGCAAGGGCTGTCTCATTCTGTGCCCTTTATGCAACGTGTGTATTATTGGGGATGGACAAGTGGTGGCTAATAATAAAAATTATTTGAAGTTGGAGAATGTTAATCACTCACGCTGGAATTTAGCCAGAATACTTGTGTTATTTCACTTGGTTCTGATTCAAACAATGTTATCTACTGGTCTGTAAATCTCTCTCTTAATCAAGAGCGAAATGTTATTTTTGCTTGGAGGTCTCTAATAGTAGTAGTAATAACAGCAGAAAACTGCCAAAAGAGACTTATTGTGTAGTTTTTTGTATCATTTAAATTTTTGCTTTTTTACGTATATTACTTCAATTTCAAGGTAAGCAGTTTAAAACATGCTGATTGTTTAACATGTAGTAGGCAGGCTGCTAAGTAATTGATTTACTTTACCTCTTTTAACCCCTCACAACAATCAAATGGAACCCGGAACCATAACAACTTGCTTGAGGTTACAATCTAGTCCATAGAAAGGATGGAAATCAAAATGTTCTCCTGTGTCATAATTTATTATTCAACAAGCTGGAAAACACTACATAATCTTGTAAAAGTGCAATTTGTTAGCCCCTAGAACATTGCCAAGCATTCTTTTCTATTCATTCACCCATCTATCCTTTCATCTAGCCATTTGTCCATCTGTCCATCCATCCATCCATCCATCCAAGAAGCCAAATTTCTGAGTTGAAGACACAACTGCCATGTTAAACATGTTTCTACAAAGCCAAATTCATGAAATTCAATTTAAATTATTGTCCAAGGTGTGTTTATTAACTGATGAAAATACAGAGGACAATGCTAAACATTCCATCACAGAAGTATGTGCTATTCCAAAAGTTTTGAAGTACTGGCTTTGGATTTTATTATCAGGGAATAGTTGGGAGCATTTTTAAATCTTACTAAATTTGTGTTCCTTCTACATGTATTGTTCTGTTGAGACACCTGAGAGTTCAATGCTTTAGGAATAATAGGTAGACTTTGTATACTCCTCAGTATCTTCATAATCAAGCCTGGAACAGTATGCTGCACATAGACGCCCTCAATAAATATTTATGAAATAAATGGATGAGTGATTGACAACATGAATGAGATTACCTTTCTAAACTTTAGCAACTGGTATTGAATCCCTATGACCTCTATCTCTGAGGTTGACCATACCCTGTTAAATGCAGCATGAGTCCAAACCTTGTCTTGCCTTTTGTAGGTGAACCACCTAACGGCTCCAAGTGCTCTTTCCTTGCCTGTATAATGGAGATACAAATAGTTATCTACCTCATAGAGTTGTAGTGAGGGGTCAACGAATTGATATGATAGAGGGTTTAGAACCTGGTAACTATATAATAATAGGTCTTAGTCATAATTATTAGTTTCTACTATGGTTCATTCTACTTTTGTGTTTTCCCAATCTTCTATATTTTCTTGTGTGTATTACTTTAATAATGGGGGAAAAGTTACACTTTTTAGATGTACTTATGTCTGAGCACACTCTCAGCTGTCACCAGCTATCTCTGGTATTTAGATATTACCTAATTTTATGCCAAAGCAGGGATCATTTCACTTGCCCTGAACCCAAGTGCAACCAGCCAGTGGGTGTGCAAATGTGCGCAGTGGTGGCCCGGGAGAGACACCGCCAGCCAACATGAATCCCTCACAGGTGTTTCCAGACTAGCTCCTTACCTGTCCTAGTGCATTTCTGATCACTTCTCTTACCAGATCAGACACTTCTAGATGAGAAACCACAAAACTGACCAGAGGATTAACGTGATGAGTCATTTCTCCATGTACATAATGACAATGTCTTATTCACATCAGAAGCGGAATAATTCAACGATAATCTTTAGTCCTTTCCCCTGCTCTGGGAATTATAGAAAAGTAAAAGCTTTCTCTGTCCCAAAGGAAATGGAAGTACTAATCTTTCCCACATTGAACTGTGGCTCTCAGCAGCACATTATGATCACATCGGGGAGTTTTAAGAAACACTGATGCTTGGGCCCTATTAAATCAAAATCTCTAGTTCAGTGACCTTTGAGATCTTGTTCTTTAGTTTTGTTTGCTTATTTCTTTATTTTTGTTTTTAACTCTCCAGGTGATCCTGATTTTCAGCTAGGGTCAAGAACGACTGACATAGATGGTTCTGTTATTTCCTCAGTGCAGCCCCAAGCTCGGGCCCAGCTGGATCTTCTGCAAAAAGGGTTAATCACATCCGTGTGTAAATGGAACCCCTTGGGAGAAAGTAGAGAGAAGTACCATCTAATTGCATTGAGTCTGTTTGGGCTGTAGGCAAAACTGAGTAAAGCAACAGGATTGTGGTATAGCAATGAGACTGTTAATAGCAGTGAGGACCAGGGAGGCCTGGGTGGCTCAGTTGGTTAAGCGACTGCCTTCGGCTCAGGTCATGATCCTGGAGTCCCGGGATCGAGTCCCGCATCAGGCTCCCTGCTCAGCGGGGAGTCTGCTTCTCCCTCTGACCCTCCTCCCTCTCATGTTCTCTCTCTCATTCTCTCTCTCAAATAAATAGATGATAAAGTAACATTTTACATATATAATCTCCTTTACCCCCGAGAATCTTGTAAGGTTGGTATTATTATTTCCATTTTATAGATGAAGAAACTGAGAGTTAGACAAGGAACTTGTTCTACAAGGTCGCACACCTTCTGACTTAGATTTTCCTGACTCCGAAGCCTCTGCTGCCATCGACTGCAGACCGCAAGTTAAGCCCAGCAGAGAGCGTCCTGAGAACCACCAGAAGGTAAATCTTGAGATAAGCAACTTCCCTTGTTCCTTTGCATCCCTCTCCTGG